AATTAGGTACAGTTAGGTTAGAGTAAAAATATGAAATATCTACATAGAATATTGCGAACTTCAAACCTTGATATATATCCACATATCTTCTTTTGTTTGAAGTTTCCTCCAATTAAACACATTAAGAGGACAAAAGGCCGCATTCCTTGCCAATGTGCCGAGGAAGCTACCCAACTCTGCTACAACATCATCAGTAGGACCTATGGGTTGATTGTTCTCGTTTACCACAACTAGCTTGCGCTCTTTCCTACCATGAACACTTGGCATTAAAGTTTTTCCTCTTTTCCTTTTTTCGGCAGAAGGACCTGCATTAATATTAAGTAAGAATAATCACCAAAAGTCAATATTATTTGTTAATTTAACAAAATAAAAATTATATGTTCTTGCCTTGTTCCTCGGATTGTTCGTTTGTTTCTTGATTAGAAGAATCCTCAAATTGTTCATGTACCGTTTGTGAAGTACGAGTGGTGGAATCCAGTGACTTTTGCTGCAATTGTTCACGTAATGTTTGTGATGCAAGAGAGGTAGAGTTCAGTGACTTTTGCTGCACTTGCTCATGTACAATTTGTGCTGGAGGAGAAGCAGAAGGCAGAGGCAGTTGCAACAATTGTTCTTGCACTTGAGCTCCTAATTGCGGAAGTTGTTTTTCAATTGAATTCAGCTGATGCTTGTCATTTGTCCTTGTAGCTTGAACAATTCTTTTTGTTTTCAACGATGAAACCTTTTGGTTCAGCAAAGATGCAAGTGATCCGGCTGCAATGCAATTTTTAGCCTTTTTGTTTTTACTTGAGTGCCCTTCCTGACTCATGACTATTCAAATTCCTGTTAAAATCAGAAAATTAAATAAGAAATAAGTTACTAAAGAAAGAATAGAACATGCTTCTACATCATGCTTGAACAGTTGGAGTTAACATCTATTTAGATGCTAGAGTTGGAATTATATAATTCCTGATATAGAATTAAGATGCAACCAACCTGATAGAAATTCCTGAAAGCTGCCAAATCAAAAAATCAATTTCAGATTCCAAACTTCTTCGCCAAACCTGTTAGACATGCAAGGTTCAGAAGTAGAAGTGAGTCTCAGAATATGGGGTCTAATTTGGGCGCAAATGATAGCAGGATGTACTGGGATCAAATTCTTTGGGAGAAGATCACATCACTTCTATTATTAACTAACAATGTGCTCTTCTTTGAAGGAAAATACACTGTAGTCATGCCTCGTCTAATGATAAAATGTTTAAGAATGGCATTAGACATTGCGCTCATTCCCTACATGGGATATCAGATATGAACACAAGCAGGGAAGAGGATTTTCATTATTTTGGAATTTGAATCAAACAACCTGGAGAACAAGCTGAAGCTTAAAAGATCACCGGCTGGGTGGGAATCAATGCCCTTCTATTTGCTACAATAATGGATCGCGACTGAAGCTATTATGGCAATAACAGGTTCACACAAATAAACAAGGAGCTGGGCTATTATTGCAAGTGCAGCGACAGATACAAGATGCTGGGAAATACATTTTGGACTGAATATACAATAGGCTATGACTGGTACTGGACACTGAAAAACTTTTTCATAGAATTGACAAAGTCGAACAAGCCTGTATTTTGGGACGCTCATTATGCACGGATAGTTTTTAAACACAATGCTAAATCTAGATCAAATGTAATATCAATGGGGTAGCATTTCAGATCAAATATAATATCAAATGTAATATCTAGACTAATGCAACTATCAGTGTAATATTTTCTGTCCAAGTCCAGCACTATTTCAAGGTTTTTAAAGCTAAGATTCACAAGCACAAGGACCTAGCACTTTAGAGTTTACAAAGATCTCAAGGACCCGGAGCAGTGCTCATGTCACGGAGGGGTATCTTAACCATGAACCCAATTACCTTTAGTCGTCCATTTTTACTTTTACTCGAATTTTTAGGCACATGTAAATTGTCAACTTAGTAATTCCATTTTGCCAGAACACAAGTAGTAGGCATATAAGATCATGGTAAGCCTTTCAAAGGTTCAGATGCACAAATATTCAGAGGTTCAGATGCACAAATATTCAACACATTAAATCAAACATATATAGAAGACGTTTTACTACCATCAAAGTATCAAGATGTAAATAGTGCATGGCCAATTACAATATTGACCCCAGAATCCCTTATCAGAACACTAACACAAGGATAAATCATAGCAAATGTACTGAGAAAGTCTAATAATATTAGTGACTTTAAGATTGATCTTAACATGTCTCAGAACACTTAAAAGGATCATTATTAAGATATAGAAAATTAATTCCATATTATATGTAGATAAGTACTATTTCTAATCAATTAAGGTTTCAGAGAGGTTTAGGTAAGTGATCAGAGCACTAGCAGATGACACAGAAAAACTTATGCCTTAGTCCCATTAGTTCTACTAAAAATTTATCATCTCAAGACCCCTTAACTGCTTCAGAATACCTAGAGCAAGTCGGTAGACATTTCAGATCAGTCCAGGGCTAGCATACACATGGCTGGAACCTTCCCTCACCAATTTCATTGTCATTTCAGGAACTTGAAGTTATCACTTAAGCTTCTGTTTACATTTTAGTTACAATGTTGAAAATAATTCCTTAAATCTTTCATGCAGTTGTTGGATTCCTTTTTCTTAGCAGATATTCCTTATCAGAACATATAAAAGTACTTCTTTTTCTTCTTTTGCTTTGGAAGTAATAATAATTCTATTAATGTGGTGGGAAAAATATGTACAAGTTGTATAATAAAAGTAGAGGACGTACACCTATGAGCAACGGAATCATATTATTAGCAAGTCAGATCAAACTTGGAGGGAAAAAGAAACTATAGTTAGTTGGACATATTGCCTCACCAGAGAAACTTTGGAGGGAAGAGTAATACTAACAAGAAATGAAATTCAATCTCAAGAGCTAGTAATTCACCTAGTTCTTTTGACACCATATCAGAAACGGAGGTTAACATTTGTCTACTACTACCAGACTACCAGTAGTTTACATATGGCTTTATACAACACCAATTTGATATAATTGTGACTGTTAATGAGATAATGTAGTAGTAAGGTGTAATAACATATATTGCTCATATTCCACAATAATTAAATTATTAGAATCATCTATGTGAGTCAAACCATAATTCTAATTTTGGCACAATGGTAGCAACAATCAAAATGAGCACCATAATATATTTTAAGATTCTAGGGCCCTGATCAACAACCTGCAATCACATTGGAAGGATACTACAAACATTGTTTCAACGAAAATGGAGATAATATAAAAACTCAAGGATGACATACAGTTGCATAATGATGCTTCAAAACTGTAAGTAAAAGAAGGTATAAATAAAAGTGTAGGTTGATTAATCTAAGAAACCTAGGATGTGTACAAAAGATGCTCCTCGTAATGTAATTAAAATAAGCTACAAACAAAAGTGTAAAAAGGAAGCATTTCAGCTGGTGAAGGCTTCTTATATATTGTAGTTCTCAAATTACGATGTCGTGCTGGAGTATGCCAATTCTTTCATAATATCTTTCCATTAGATCAAGCTTATCCCATATGACATCCTACGACAATGGCACCTTAGTGGCATACTCGTGTCATATAAAAGATTTCACATTATGATTAAACTAAGCCAAGATACAACAATATCAGAAATAGCACATAGCAATTCAAAATTTCCAAATAGAAAAGATACTTAAGTGACAGAAGCAAAAATGAGTAAAGTAAGAAGAAACGGATAAAACTCCAACTTAACATCCGCAATAGTCCAATGGGACAAAAAGTCGAAAACCAGTTACTGAAATGGAATTATTAGTATTAAGACGTAATGACTATTTTCCTGCATAGCAAAAGGAAGGAATATGGGCAGTTCAACAACATGCTGCATAAATGATCATCTCATATTGAGTTCTCCAAGCATGTTAAGTTTTTCCACTCACTCCAAAAAATTCAGTTAACAATCTAATTCCTTCTAGAAGTTGTAAAACTCCACTTGTACCGGCAATATGAATAACATAGGAAGGGTTCATAAACATCATTGGACTAGAAAAAGTAGAACGACGAGTGTGAGCACAAGCATAACAGTCAATGAGAGGCATTCAATCATCACAACAGTAAATATTTTAGATAGCCATTCCTACAGACTTCAGAGTAATGAGATAGTAGAGGGGCATGGCAAATCAAAAACACCGCAAGTGAGCAGGTTCAGTTTCACCACATGATCTCAAGCCACAATGATAAACAGATATGAGTCACTAAGAATACTTAACAAGACTATAAAGTAGAGTCAATAAAGGTTCAGACATAAAGTTGTAATGCGAATCAATCATTGCTCTATTTTCCACAAGTTGTTACACACATCATTGACACTTGCAACTTAAATATGTTTTCTGTATCTCATGCACATATCATGCCACAGAACAACAACCACTTTGAGCTTCAAACTTGAAGCATTTTGTCACCAGAAAAAAATAAAAAAATGGGGCGCAAAAGAAAACTAATAAAAATACCCCAAAAATGCACCCAAAATCACACATATTAAATAAATTTTACATGTATTCCTTAAACAAAACAACAAAACCCATGAAATCTATACATGAAATCAATACAGATCGATGAAATTGAAAAGAGGACCACAAATCCAAAAAGGGAAAAACAAATAGGGAATAATACTAGGAAGAAATAGTGAAATAAAGAAGCAATTAAATTAGTAAAATGGAGGAGATTTACTGAATATAGCAAAACTTATGCTTTGAGATTTAGAGAATACCCATTTGTACCCTTATATGACAAAAAATTAAAGAGAACCCATTAAAAGTAGGCGAAAAACTCGAGAGAAAGAAAGTACCTGTGATTTCACCCGCTCAAATCCTAAGTCTTGGAATGATGTTAGTTTCTTTGTTTCCTTGGAGTTTCAGACGCCAACAAATTTCAGCAATTAAAAGGTTTTTATGCAATTTTGTTGTCTCTAGCAGAGAGATTGAAATATGGGTTTTCTTCGAGCAATCAATGTTCGTTTAACAGGGGAAGAAGGTGGTCTTTTCCATGGTGCTTTGGTGGAAGTTTTGTGGTTGAAAGATGGTGGGATTTTGGTCGGAGATGGGGTGGAGACGCGTCAATGGCGATTTTGGGTTTGGGACTTTGGGGATGTCGACTGCCTTTGGGTTTGGGACATTGGGGATGTCGACTGCTAATAGGTAAATAGGATATGGACTAATTAAATTAGAGACTTTTATATTTTTATTTTCTAATTAATTAAAAAGACAAAAATTATTTTTGTTTGGCGGGTCTAACAAAATTTAGGAGGGAATCTGATAAGGAGAAAAAAAACCGTTCCGTTATCTATTTTTCCCAAAATTCCGTTCTAAACAGTCGCGTTAAAAAGCGCTATGGCAATGGTTTAATGTAAATGGTTTTATATCAAAAGTGTGCTGATATCATCCACATTCTACAGGAACAGTTATAACCGTTGCTATATGTGCTCTATAGCAACGGTTTGATAACCGTTACTAAAAAACTGTTGCAATAGGCTCATTTTCTGGTAGTGTATGAGATAAAGTCTCATTCAAACACTTCAATATACTGCTAATGATAAATGAAACAAGCAATAAATCGTAACCATCTCTCAGGTCAACCATTCATGAAGTCACTTCCTTTTTGGCTAATGCCACAGTAGATTTCCGAGCCGAACCTCGATATTATCCTTCCAACAAGCTGAAATCAAATCCGTTCGTATTCATTAATGACCCTAATGATCATCTCGAATCCAACACACCTCTGTGGTGACATGACACATGAATACAGGCCCAAGCCACACTTTACATAATTCGTGCACCCATAAGAAATGGCCTGAATATCCTCAAACCATGAAAATGACCCAAACGGAAGGGTTGTATCTCAAGTCCATCAGTACCATCACAACATAGAGCTGAGACCCCGTCTCGCATCGTAGAAATAGAACACATGAATCTACCCCGAAAGGTCATATCTCCACGCAACCCGATAGGACACAACTGATACGCCGTCCGGATATATGCCACACCTCTAATACCCAATCATTCCAGGTTAGATACTCTCAAACTTCTCTGTGCCCCCAAACAAACCTGAATATCACCAATCGATCTAAAAGAAGGTGTCGCAATACTACCGAAGTGCTATCAACTTAATCACATTACCCTTTTTCTGAAACCTATACTCTCGTCAAATCACTCCCAAATAACGATACCATTTCCTTAATCATCTGAGGCTACCCGCTGCCTAAGAGTGTTATGAACATTCCTTTCAGAACTGAACTGAAACCTCATACACGCAAATCTCGATCCTCCACAACATACCGCATACACCATTCATCCAAGGATAACTGAAAAACTTTTATCTCCCTACCGAGCCACAGACATCTACGCACTCAACTAGTCAAGAACTCCCAGTGATCCCATTTAGAAGAAAATCATTACACGTCCCATACCTCTCATATTCGTAGCAAATGCACCGGTCCAGCCACGGTAGAAATCAACAAGAACTCTCCCAATTCCGTTTGCACAATTAAACTGCCAAGACTGAATCCTTCTAACTAGACCAAGCTAAGCAAGCCATCAAAGCCCACGAGCATTGTCGCAAAATACCTGTAAGTACCCATTACCTCGAACACATACAAGGAATTGATCATGTCCTTACCATACCGATTCGGTCTACTATCAAACCACTCCATCTACCTGAATTTCCTTCTGATTCATTTTCAACTTGATGCTCCCTCTTGCTGTAGTACCACAATCTCTCAATCCCAAGCTCACTACACGAGACCCAAGCACAAGACCACACTGACTAGGACCCATAAGCCGCTGAATACTCTCTCAAATATTCCCAAAACATCACGCTCCCGAATACTTTAATCTGAAGAACTTCCTGCGAATCCGAATCCGTTACCTTTACTTTCCTGATACTGATGCATAGAACCCCATAATTAACATAGAAATACCACAAATCTGAACCTCTTCCAATGAAAACACAGTTTCTAACCACACATGCAACTTTAAAATACCCGATTGTTTCCTGCAGAATCTTGAACACATTAGAACCATTCTTGAAAGTCACTCACTCTTATTCAAACTGCAAATTACCTGACCCAACGAACAGAACCACTCGTGCCTCATCGGCACTCCGATACCGCAAAATGAAATCCTCGTCCTAATATAACCACGCAACTTCCTGCTCTATGCCCCGAGCATTCTTTACCAACAGCAACTTAAGACATCCTGTGATTCTCTTTCCCCATGAAGCATAATGTAACCTTTGTCAAAAAAATTCCTTTACTCTAGCCATAGCTAATTCACTCGCATACCCCAAACTGGAACTAACATAGCACCTAACCGTGCAATCAACTACTCATAGCAGACTCCCCCACTTGTCTTGAAGCCATAGATCAAAATACCCTCAATAACTCATAACACTTTTACTCTATTGATGCCACAATAACATAGTGAGATTGAACTCAAATCATTTATAAGTTGTGAAAACACAGATCATCCCGTACTGTAACTCTTCTGCAATTCTCGCATTCATTCCCGCAATAGATAAGCCCACTCTCTTAAGCGACCCGAAATTCCAAATTTCAACCCGTACTTTTCACTTGCTCATGAGATCTCCTAGTACACACATAAGGATCGTACCACTTCAGGACACTTCGCAGGAGATAACCCACCTGCTTCGCTTCAATATAGCATTTTTGTATACCTTCCACCGCCATACACATTACACAACCTCTTAGTCTTCCTGCGTCTGAACTCGTACCGTAACATAAAATTTACTTCACTCTCGACTGGAAACATGAAAAGATTCTTCACACGCCCATAACTCGGGCTATACCTCGAATCACGATGGAATTCAAACACCTAATAGTTCTTCTATCATCCAGCAGACCTTCCTCGTCACTTCTAAGTCACATAGATACATCTCGCATTACCAAAATACCCATCACATAGCTATCCAGCTGTCACTTCCACTAATAGGGACAATACCGAACATATAAGTTCAAAACACTTGCTCACACAATCAGCACCTCGATGCTCAAGCCATAGGCAAAGGTCCGGCCTCAAGTCCTCCAGACTGGCCCAACATCAACTCACAGAGAGCACATCTCGCCCCTCGATCAGGGAATCATAAGCCGTCAAGGCACATCTGATACTGAGCGCTCATGCGCGCATACAAACGCGTGGAAGGAATTTCAAGAGTTTCTTTTCAAGCTGAATCAAGGACGCACGATAGGAATTCAAGAATGTGAAGTTTTCCTAAAGGTTCTGCAGCCTCTCGAGGATAAATACAGACGTCTCCGTACCGATCCGCGAGACTCTACTAAACCTGCTCATGACTCGTGAGACCTAGTAACCTAGGCTCTGATACAACCTTGTCACGACCCAATTCCCAAACTCGGTCGTGATGGCGCCTCTCGTGAAGACAAGGCCAGCCAGACCAATACAGGACACCTCTTTAAGTAGTAATCACCATTTAAGCAATTATGAAACACGATTTAATAACAATAAATTGTGGAACATAGATATTATTAGTAGAACCATCCCGACACAGCCCAAACCGGGGTGTCACAAGTCACGAGCATCTATTAAAGTACGAATACCACTACGAGGTTTGAAATATACAAAATAGGACCGATGTACGAAAGGAAGAGATGTGGTGCTGCGAACGTTGGCAGTCACCTCGCTAAACTCCGATAACTAAGCCTCCGATCAGTTCAAAACCCGCTACCGGGGAAAACAAATACCTGCATCTGCACGCAAGGTGCAGGAAGTAAAGTGAGTACTCCAACCCAGTAAGTAATAAGAGTATATAAAGACTGAGCAGTAGGAAACAATGAATCCACATTCACGTTAGGTTCAATAAACACAACAGGCTTTCAAATCATAATACGAGTCAACCTTCCCTTTTAAAATCCAACTTTTAGTAAAAATCATTTTGAAATACCTTCCAGAAGTTTCAGTAGGGGTTCAATACCATTTAAAAGAATAACAGCGATTAAAGCCATAATCGGCCCCTCGGGCAAAGCATAGTTCGTAAAATAGCCCCTTGGGCAAAAACAGTAATCATAAACACTTCATCACTTGAAAATCTCGGAGGAAATAACCAAATGCCAAATCAGTGGTTAATTTCTAAACNCGATAAGTCAACATATTCGATAGAAACTCACTGAAAAGGGGAGTGAAATCAACAAGTTCATAAACAGGCCTCTCAGGCAAACATCACTCATATGCATGTATATAGTTATCGCCCCTCGGGCTAGCCTCTCTGCCACTCGTGACTCAACTCTTGCCAATCAGTGCTCACACTCAGCACTCACGATCAATAGGTACTATATAGCAACCGCTGCGGCGTGCAGCCCAATCCATATATATATATATAATAACCGCTGCGGCATGCAGCCCGATCCATATGGGTACCCGCGCTCACTGTGGGGGTGCAGACTCTGGAGGGGCTCCTACAGCCCAAGCGCAATATTGTTGCGGTGTGCAGCCCGATCCATGTAAGTATCGCTGCGGCGTGCAGCCCGATCCATATACATATATATACATATACATTACTGCGGCGTGCAGCCCGATCCATAGGTATATAATCCTCACAACTGGCCCTCGGCCTCTCTCAGTCATTAACCTCACCATCAGTCTCTCAGTCTATCTCAATCATCAATCTAACAATCAGACCCTCGATCTATCTCAGTCATCATCTCTCGATTGCTCGGACCATCAGTAAAACAGGGAGCTCAGCCCAAAACAGTTTTCCACATTTTTAAGAATATAGTGATAAAGCCAGATTTGAGTAATAAACAGGTAAAACATGACTGAGGATATGCTTTCAAACAAGTAGAGTGAGGATAGATAGTTAAAATGCCCCTAAGGGTCTCAACAAGTCGGCACAAGGCCCCAAACATGGCATACAGCCTAAAATATAATGACATCAAACAATTAACTATCAAATACGCATTAAAGTACTCGATCGGAAAGGACTAGGTCACAATCCCCAGCGGTGCTCTACCCCACGCTCGTTATCTAGCGTGTAAGTCACCTCCTAGTAACACAACGATGTGTAATCCGGGGTTTCAAACCCTCAGAGCAACATTTACAATCATTACTTACCTCAAGCCGGCCAAAATCCTAGCTCGCTATGCCCTTGCCTCGCAAATCGACCTCCTCGCGCGTCGAATCTGATCAAAACCACAACGAATACGTCACAATATGCTAAGGAGACAATACTCAATCGAAAACAATCAAAAATATCAAGAATCTTGAAATTAGCAAAACCCGAGCCCGGGGCCCACTTCTCGAAACTCAGAAATTCTTACACCAACGGATTCCTTATCTCGCCACGAGTCTGTACATATCAAAATCACAAGAATCGGAGTCCATTTGACCCCTCGAATCCCTAGTTTAAGCTCTCTTAGGTTCAAGCCCTAAACCACCATTTTTGACCTTTAATTTCTTAAGTTTTTCAGCTCTAATCCATGTATTTACTCCATAGAATCATGTTTTTTTTAAGACAAGAGTTCCTACCTGATCAAAGCCCTTGAAACCCTCTTCAAAATCGCCCAAAAACTCTCCAAGTCCGGAGTGAAATATGTTACTCTTCCAAAAATTCGCGAAGATGAATTAAATATTTCTGTCCAACAGAAATCGCTTCTGCGGTCAAAATGTCGCTTCTGCAACTTCCGCTTCTGCGGTCTCCTTCCGCTTCTGCGGAATTTCCCATAATCCAAAAACCCGCTTCTGCGACTTAAATCCTGCATCTGCGGCTATGCAGATGCGGCTTCCCCTACCGCTACTGCGGAATCAACGCCCAGGTCCCATCACCGCTTCTGCGGTCCAATCTTCGTACAAGCGAGACCGCTTCTGTGGTCCAGGCTTCGCAGAAGCGAAAATACCAGTTGCAGCAGACTTAGCAACATGCACAATTCCAAAACTCTCCGTTTAACCATCCGAACTCATCCCGAGGCCCCCGGGACCTCAACCAAAAATACCAAAGCATCCTACAATGTTATTCAAACTTGTTCCAACCATAAAAACCCATCCAACAACACTAAAATCATCAATTCACATTGAATTCAAGCCTAAGCTCTTCTAAAACTTCCGAAACACGCATTTGATCAAAAACCCGACCAAAACACCTCCGAATGATATGAAATTTTGCACTCACATCCAAAATCACCTAACGAAGCTACAGCAACTCTCGGAATTCCATTCCGACTCCCTGATCAAAATCTCACCCATCAACCGGAAATCGCCAAAATACTAACTTCGCCAATTCAAGCCTAATTCTACACCGGACTTCCAAAACCAATTCCGATCACGCTCCTATGTTACAAATCACCCAGCGAAGCTAACCAAATCAAAAAACTCCGATCCGAGCTCATATACAAATGAGTCAACTCTTGGTCAAACCTTTCAAATTCAAAGCTTTCAACTGAAACTGTTCTTTCAAATTCATTCCCAATTTTCCTGAAACCAAAACCAACGATCTACATTAGTCATAATGCATAACACGGGGCAAGTCATGCCCGGGAACTGGCGATCAAGGTGCAAAATCTCAAAACGACCAGTCGGGTCGTTACAAAAATCAACTAATGTCTATGGAGATTGTGAATGTTAGAACTACCGTTCCAACTTTGATTCCGATTTTACTTCAACACAGTGGTGAATGGGTAAGTGAGAGTAAATTTGTTAATTTCCTTGTTAATGGTGTGTTGATCAATTCGGACTGTAGCTATGATTATTTTGTTGATGAGATATACAGGCAATTGGGTAGAGATCCAATTACAAGTGCAATGGAGATAAAATATACAGTGAAGGATGGCATATAGCAATTCCAATATACAATGATATGAGCATGCGCTTGTATATGGAGATGAAAAAGAAAAACCTGAATATCACTGAATATCCATTATGCATAACATTGAAAACTGTGTATTCAAGTGCTGAATGCTCATATTCAAGTTCATACTCGGGTGGCAACTTACTGGCAACAACTTCGACTGGAAACTTACTCGCAACAACTTCAGTTGGTTTACAATGTCAGAACGTAGAAGAAGTACACGGAACTAATATTGTTGAGATGATGGATAATCATGTAAAGGAAGACAAAATTGAGATATTGAAGGGAAATTGTATAGTAGACAATTCACAACATGAAGAAATTGCAGAAGGTCAGTTGTATTGGGACAAAGATACACTCATTAGTGTAATGAAGCACTACGCAATACGAGAAAAATGTCAATTTATAGTGGATAGATCATCTACAACAAGGTATGATTTCTACTTATGAGATTGCACTTCTCTATAATTTTATGTATACAGATCTGTATAAAAAATATATAATTATTGTATAGTGTAAATTTATGTATACAGATCTGTATAAAAAAATGTCTAATTATTTTATAGTGTATTAGCTATTGTATAGTGTAAATTTATATATACATATCTGTATAAAAATGTATAATTATTGTATAGTGAGATTGCATATGTATACAGATCTGTATAAAAAATATATAATTATTGTATAGTGAGATTGCATATGTATACTGGTTGTTTATTTGAGACACAAGTGTAAAAATCTAAAGAAATGCATTATCATAACACTATATTTTAAATAGGTATTGTCTTATATGCGTGGATGAAAGTTGCAAATGGAGTCTTAGATCTTCAAGTCTACACAAATCAAATGTCTTCAAGGTTAGACGGTTCAATGATGTTCACACTTACCCAGAGATGACTAGACTGTTTTCACAACGTCATGCTACTTCGTCTGCCATTGCAAAAATGATTTGCAACAAATATGCCAATCCAAAAATAATATACACTCTGGCAGACATCATGAGCGACATGAAACAACAGTATGAGATTAATATGAGTTACGTAAAAGCTTATAGAACAAAAGAAAAGGCGCTTGAACTACTAAGAGGGATACCACGCGAATCTTATAGAAAACTGCCGGGTCACTTGTATATGATAAATATGACAAATCCTGGTTCTTTCACAATGTTACATAAATCAGAGGACGGGCGCTTCATGTATGTTTTTGTCGCACTAAATGCATCAATCATAGGATGGAAATACTGTTACCCTATTGTAGTGGTTGATGGGACATTCCTCAAATCATCACACAGAGGAACAATGTTAACAGCTAGCGCACAAGATGCGGCAGGTGAATATGTTGCAGACTCGTATAATAATTATATATGGTTTAGATAGTTCTTATCTGTGTATAACAAAAATAACATGTGGATGCTTTCTTATTTGCTTAACCGGGTAAAATTTTCCACTAGCATACGCTGTTGTAGATTCTGAAAATGATGCTTCCTGGGTAATGGTTTTTTTGAA